ATAAAAATGTTTTAAAAAGATGAAAAATAAAAAGTGTTCCCTCTATGACCCCATTAATTTGAACACCAGGGATCAAAATCAGTTTTGATGCTTTTAACATGGTTTTTTCCCCATAAAAACAAACTACATATTTTTTTTACCCCTTTTTATCTCTGGGTTTTTAAACCCCACTGGACATCTGGAATAGCCATTTCTACTGCCCCCTGGCATAAACACAAAGCTGCAAAAAATAAATTTCAGTTGATAAACGGGAATATTTAGTGAAGAGTTTTGGGAAACCATTAGCCGGATTGGGTCCCGGAAATGGGAAATCAATGCCTGCATTTAAAAGGGGGGGTTTGGGATATTTACAATTTGGAGGGTCAAGCCATTCTAAATGTGTATCGAGACCTCTGCAAAACAGTGGTTTTGTATGAGTGAGGTTTAAAGTTTGAAAGATGATGAAAAATTTTTTTTGGGTCACCCTGCCTCGGCGGGAAAAACGGCTGACTTTTTGAAGAAGGGGAGAGAGAGAGAGAGAGAGAGAGAGAGAGAGAGAGAGAAGAGGGGAGAGAGAGAGGGGAAGAGAAGAGAGAAGGAGAGAGAGAACAGAGGAGGGGAAGAGAGGGGAGAAGAGAAAAAGGAAAGAAAAGAGAGGGGGAAAAAGAGAGGAGAGGGGAGAGAGAGGGGAGAGAGAGAGAGAGGGGAGAGAGAGAGAGAGGAGAGAGAGAGAGGGGGGGAAGGAAAAGGGGGAAGAGAGAGGAAAAAGGAGAGAGGGAGAGAGGCAGAGAGAGGGAAAAGAGGGACAGAGAGGAAGGGGGAAAAGGAGAGAGAGGAGGGAGGAGAGAGGAGGAGAGAGAGAGAGGAGAGAGGAGAGGAGGAAGAGAGGGAGAGAGAAAAGGAGAGAGAGAGAGAGGAGAGAGAGAGAGGAGAGAGGGAGAGAGGAGAGAGGAGGAGAAGAGAGGAGAAAGGGGGAGAGAGAGGGAAGAGAGAGGGAGAGAGAAAAGAGAGGAAAGGAGGAAGAGAGAGAGGAGAGGAGAGGGAGAGGGGGAAAAGGAGAGAAGGAGAGGAGGAGAGAGGAGGGAGAGAGAGAGAGGGAGGAGAGAGAGGAAAAGAGGGGAGGAGAGGAGAGAGAGAGAGGAGAAGAGAGAGGGATGGGGGAGAGGGGAGGAGGAGAAGAGAGAGAGGAGGGGAAAAAGAGAGAGAGAGAAGGGGAGAGAGGAAAGGGGGAGAGGAGAGAGGAAGAGAGGAGGGAAGGGGAAAGGAAAAGGGAAGAAGAGAGAAGGGAAAAAAGAAGGGGAGAGAGAGAGGAAAAAAGAGGAAGGAAAGGGACAAAAAGAGAAAGGGAAAGGGGAAAGAAAAGGAAAAAGTAGAGGGTTTTTTAGGCCCCAAAAACCAAAACCCCCCCCCAAAACAGGGAAAACAATTTCCCCTTTTAAACAAAAAGGCCCGGGGAGAAATAAAAACCAACCAAACAACAAAAGGATAAAGGGGGAAAAAAAAAGGAGGGGAAAAAAAAGGGGAAAAAGGGAAAAATGAAAAAAGGGGAAAAAAATTTTAGAGGAAAAAAAAAAATAAAATTAAAATTAGGTTTAGAAGGGGAAAAGAGGAGGGGGGGGGGGGGAATATAAAAATCTTCAAAATGAAAAAGGAAAAAAAATTTGACCTTTTTTTAATTTTCTTTTGGGGGTTTTTTTTAAAGGGGTTTAGGGATACCGTTTTGTCATTAAAATTTAAAACTTTAAAAAAAGAAATAGAAATTTTTTTGTTGGGTTTTACTTTAAAAAAAAACCTACAAAGGGAAATGGGGAAAAAAAAACAAAGTTTTTTTTAATTAAATGTCAATTTGGTTAAAGGGATTTTTTATTTGTAAAACTTTCGTTTCCCTTTCCTTTGAGAAAAACAAATTTTTGAAAAAGGAAATTTATGGGTTTTACATAAAAAGAAAATAAAGGGGGCCAAAAAGGGAAATTTTTTTACCTATTTAAAACAAAAATTTTTTTGGCCAAATTTTAAATTTTCCAATGTTGTAAAAAAATAAAAGGGGTTTTTTACTATAAGGAAACAGAGTTCTAAAGAAACCCTTTAACTGTGCATCACATAGGACTACATCACTGATGCCAGGGTCCATTACATAGATTTTACGTCATGAGCTCAGTTCATTCAGATAAGCTGTGACTGGTAAATTTAGGTTTAGATATGAGAAAATGAGTCAGTGCAGTGAGTGTGGGCAATATAAAAAGCCTGCTTCATATGGTGAAGGGAAAAAGTAAAACTGACCTTGTGTTTAGTTTAACCCTTTGACTGTTTCAGTCGTATATATATGTCTTACGAGGTACCGTGTTTGACATATATACATATACTCATAAATTCTAGCGGCTTCAAATCAAGCAGGAGAAAGCTAGTAGGCCCACATGTGATAGAATGAGTCTGTGTGGTCAGTGTGCACCATATAAAAAAAATCCTGCAGCAAGCAGTGCATAATGAGAAAAAAAAAAACCTCAGACGTTTTTTTTTAATTAAAATGTCAACTTTGTGGTCTATTTTCGTATAGTATTTATGGTTGTATTCTCGTTTTCTTGGTCTCATTTGATAGAATGGAAAACATATTATAGAAATAGAGGTGATTTTGATTGGTTTTACTATAAAAAGAACCTGGAAATGGAGCTCAAAGTAGGGGAAATGTTTGATTTTTGCTGATGTTCAAAAGTAAACAAATGATGTCATTGTCCAATAAATGTCCAACTAGCCATTGTAATATGTAGTCATGAATGGGTTGACATTATTTGTACAATTATTACAGTATTGCAGTAGTCTGCATAACAGTAAATCTTCTATTTTTTGTTTGAATAAAAATTCAAAATAGAAAGCAAGAGTAATATCAGAGGGGCCTGGAGATGTGACTAATGAACAAAGAAAATATTATTTTAGAGCCAGGAATATCTGCATTGTTCATTCTGGACTCTATTTTGAAACTGTCATATTTTTTAATTTTCGTGATATTGGCCAAATTGCAAATTTCTGACAATAGTGGGTAATTGAAATTGGTAAATGGGCAGTTTCTTATACTCAGTCGATAGGAAAAACAGAGTTCTAAAGAAATAGCTATGAGTTTGGTCGACTGGAACAATGGAATTAGCCAAAAATAGGGCTCAAGTGGGGGAAATCGCTGATTTGTAAGTATCGCCGAGGTCGCTAACTTTGCAAGAGCGTAATTCCATCAGTTTTCCATCAAATTTTGTTTTTTTGGTGTCATTACAATTGGATAAAGATTCTCTGTCATTTCATAAGAATTTTTTTTTTTTTTTTTTTTTTAATTTTGCAACACCAGGAGACACCTAAGGATTAGGTGTTGCAATAGTCAAGGGGTTAAAACAAATGAATTTGAGGTATTTTCTAGAATGGTTTTTTGTGGTTATATTGGCTGTTTCTTGGTATCAGTTGATATAATAGAAGACATAATACTGAAAAAAAAAGATATTTTAGTTTGTCCCAAGATGAGAAGTGGCTTGAAATCAACCTCAAAATAGCAGAAATATTTGATTTTTGCTGATATTCTTGAGGACGGGCAATGCCTTCCTCACATATCCCTCCCAGTCTGTTTTATGGGATTTTAATAGGCCTGATTCAATTAATGGGACAACATACACCATCACAAGTCATTCTTGGTTATGTTTTATTATCTGAGAAACAGGGTAAAGCTTCGATATTTTGTGTGATGGCAAATTCAAAATGGAAGGCTAGAGTAATATAGGAATATCTTCTTCTTTCAACAAAATGGCCATATTCCACTGAGACAGGATGGCCCAAAAAGTAAAACAAAAGTTTCCCTTTTTAAATTTAGTAATTTATATAGAAGGGGTTACTAGCCCCTTACATCCAGCATTTTAGTCACCTCTTTCGACACGCATGGCTTACGGAGGAAGAATTCTTTTCCACTTCCCCATGGAGAATAGGAATACCTACAGTGTTTATTTTGGACTCTCTTTTTAAATCAGAATTGTTTTGGATTTTGCATAAAATTGTCCAAATTACCAAATTCTGTGCACCTTATGGGGTAGTTTTGATGGTTTGAATGGGAGGTTTCTTGTACTCAATCGATAGAACAGAAAACATTGTAGAGATATAGATAAGAATTTGTAGGTAGTAGGTTGGTATACAGCAACCACCCAGGGAGGTACTACCATCCTGCCAAGTGAGTGTAAAACAAGAGCCTGTATTTGTTTTACATGATGGTAGGATTGCTGGTGTCTTTTGTCTGTCTCATAAATATGCAAGATTACAGGTACGTCTTGCTACTTCTACTTACACTTAGGTCACACTACACATACATATACATGTTTATTTATACACACTCATCTGAGTTTTCTTTGATTTAATCTTAATAGTTCTTGTTCTTATTACTTTTCCTTTTATATCCATGGGGAAGTGGAATAAAAATCTTTCCTCCGTAAACCATGCGTGTTGTAACAGTCAACTAAAATGCCGGGAACAATGGGTTAGTAACCCCTTTTCCTGTACAGATTACTAAAAAGAAGAAGAAAATTGTGACCACACAGTCACAGGTTTTTTCCCATCATGTACTGCATTGGGCAGGATTTTTTTTATATGGTGCACACTCACTGCATAGACCCATTCTCTCATATCAAGGCCCAAATTTACTGCTCACAGATTATCTAAGTGAGCTGATCTCATCATGTAGTACTCTGGCATAGACCCTGAGCTCAAACCCCTGGAAAGGTTAAGTAAGCTTTATTTTAAAAAGAAGAAAAGTTTAGTTTGTAAAACAATCCTTTCTTTTAATCACATTGGACATTTCCCCAACAAATATAGGCTGACCCAAACAAGGAAAAACATTTTAAAATACACTGTAAAACAAAGTGCAGATGTGAAATAAATTATTTGCATAAACTATAACAAGGCATCAATCCTGACATATATGAATGATGCAAGTTTTACTGTACTGTAAACTTTATAATACAGAGTGAGGCAACACAACTGCATAATCACCATGGGACAATTATTTGCTGATCTCTGTCATTGTACTTATTTGAAAATAGCTAATTTAACAATCCAAGTAATATATTTCCACAATTTCACACAATTTTTAGGTGGTAAAAACTTAATACTGAACATTACCTCAAATATGAGTATGAAAGCCAGGCGTGCAGTGAAAACATGCCAAAACTGTATAGTGAAACCATAAGGGTTCTTATCATCTGGATTATTACGGTATGCTCTATACCGACACGTTGCTGGCCATCCTGTACGGTTGTCTGGCCCCATATCTTCTGTATACTCTGATGTATTGAACACTGGAGAAGAAATTTTCTTTTTAGGATTTTCACTCTGAATAAAAACAATCAACTTTAGTTTTCAATAAACACACAAAAGATACAATGAGTAACAAGATGAAAGTTTAAGTTTTATTTTAATGCTATAAAAAATGCCTCAGTGGGATATGGCCAGTTTGTTGGAAGAAAAAATGGAAAAAGACAAATGCAGTATAATACAGTCTTTTACTGACAATGTTTTTCCCACACAGTGGGCTTTACCAAGTCACAATTATAGCTGAGATTATAAGAAGCCATCTGGATAAGCACAATCTGATTGATACTCAGCATGGATTCACAAGAGGCCATTCTTGTCTAACTAATTTATTAACTTTCTTCAGTAAAGCTTTTGAGGCTGTTGATCACGATAAAGAATTTGATATTATTTACTTAGATTTTAGTAAAGCTAAAGATAGAGTTCTGCACCAAAGACTGTTAAAGAAAGTGGCAGCTCATGGCATTCAGGAAAAAGTGCTCTCGTGGATCGAGTCATGGCTCACTGACAGGAAGCAGAGAGTGTCCATAAATGGGGTTAAATCCGAGTGGGGATCTGTAACAAGTGGCGTTCCACAGGGATCAGTCTTGGGCCCATTGTTGTTTATAATATATATCAATGATCTTGATGAGGGAATTACTAGTGATATGAGCAAATTCGCCGATGACACAAAGATAGGTAGGATAATTGATTCAAGCGTAGATATCAGAGAACTTCTGGAGGATTTAAACAAACTCAATATCTGGTCAGAAAAGTGGCAGATGCAGTTCAATGTAGATAAATGGAAGGTTCTGAAGCTCGGGAGTGTCCACAACCCTAGCACTTATAAGTTAAATAATGTAGAACTTAGCCATACAGAGTGCGAAAAGGACTTGGGGGTTATGATAAGCAGCAACCTTAAACCAAGACAGCAATGCCTAAGCATACATAATAAGGCAAACAGATTACTGGTATTTATATCAAGAAGTGTAAGCAACAGAAGTTCAACAGTTATATTACAGCTTTATACATCATTAGTAAGGCCTCACCTAGATTATGCAGCTCAGTTCTGGTCTCCATGTTACAGAATGGACATAAATTTGTTAGAAAACATTCAGCATAGAATGACTAAATTAATACATAGCATTAGAAATCTTCCTTATGAAGAAAGATTGAAGACCCTTAAATTACATTCTCTTGTTAGACGAAGAATGAGAGGAGACCTGATCGAAGTGTATAAGTGGAAGATGGGTACTGATAAAGGGGACATTAATAAGGTCTTGAGGATATCTGTCCAAGAGAGAACATGCAGTAATGGATTTAAATTAGACAAGTTTAGATTTAGAAAGGATATAGGAAAGTATTGGTTTGGAAATAGGGTAGTTGATGAGTGGAACAGTCTACTTAGTTGGGTTATTGAGGCTAAAACCTTGGGTAGTTTCAAATTTAGGTTGGATAAATGCATGAGTGAGAGGGGTTTCAATTTGAGTGGGACTTGCATATGGGTGGGTAGAGTTATCAGAGCTTATTTCTTGGGTAGTTTTGAAAATTTGGTTGGGTAAATGTTTTCTTAGTGGGATGGATTGTAAAGGACCTGCCTAGTATGGGCCAACAGGCCTGCTGCAATGTTCCTCCTTTCTTATGTTTACCAAGTCACAATGGGCTTTACCAAGTCACAGTGGGCTTTACCAAGTCACAGTGGGCTTTACCAAGTCACAGTGGGCTTTACCAAGTCACAGTGGACTTTACCAAGTCACAGTGGGCTTCAGCAAGTCACAGTGGGCTTTACCAAGTCACAGTGGGCTTTACCAAGTCACAGTGGGCTTTATCAAGTCACAGTGGGCTTTAGCAAGTCACAGTGGGCTTTAGCAAGTCACAGTGGGCTTTACCACATCACAGTGGGCTTTACCAAGAACCAGTGGGCTTTACCAAGTCACAGTGGGCTTTACCAAGTCACAGTGAGCTTTACCAAGTCACAGTGGGCTTTACCAAGTCACAGTGGGCTTCAGCAAGTCACAGTGGGCTTTACCAAGTCACAGTGGGCTTTACTAAGTTACAGTGGGCTTTACCAAGTCACAGTGGGCTTTAGCAAGTCACAGTGGGCTTTACCAGGTCACAGTGGGCTTTACCAAGTCACAGTGGGCTTTACCAAGTCACAGTGGGCTTTAGCAAGTCACAGTGGGCTTTAGCAAGTCACAGTGGGCTTTACCAGATCACAGTGGGCTTTAGAAAGTCACAGTGGCCTTTACCATGTCACAGTGGGCTTTACCAAGAACCAATGGGCTTTATAAAGTCACAGTGGGCTTTACCAAGTCACAGTGGGCTTTACCAAGTCACAGTGGGCTTTACTAGGTCACAGTGGGCTTTATCAAGTCACAGTGGGCTTTAGCAAGTCACAGTGGGCTTTAGCAAGTCACAGTGGGCTTTACCACATCACAGTGGGCTTTACCACATCACAGTGGGCTTTACCAAGTCACAGTGGGCTTTACCAAATCACAATTTACTTTAGCAAGTGATCTGATAAAGCTCACTTTGTGGGAAAAATGTTGTCAAAGGATTGCATTACAAAAATTCAGGCTTGAACTTACAAGCAAGACTATTTTCTATGTAGCCTTTAAGGGTCGTTCCTTCAGGTGAGTAGCCATACATGTAGACTAATCGAGGAATAAAGTCACTTGTGTATGAAATAACCAATGCCTGAAAGGAAGTGGTGCTTGATTTACAATGTTAATTCCTCAAGAAATGTTTTTTCTTCTGTTTCCATAAATATAAATACAACTTGGATAAAAATCTTATTCATAATGACTCATTAATATATAAAATCATCAAAGAGAAAGAATTCAGGTATCTGAGTATTTTTCTGAAACAGATAGAACATAGTAAACTCAAAGCTGCACTGTACAAATTACTATGATTAAAAAAATTATTGTGAACTTACATTAGTAAACACAGAAAAATATGTGATGCCCTTCAGAATACCAAACCAAATTCCAATATCTTGAACCCTCTCTGCTCGAGGCCTGCGGCACTGAGTCAGGTATTTATATGCATCCAGTCGGATCTCCACAATATTATTCAACAAAGCAAATAATGGTGCCAGGGGAAAAGCTGCCACAAATATTGTCACAAACCCATACTGGATTACTGTTGAAGATAAAATTAAGATTAGAACACGGATAATAGTTAGTGTTTAAGTAAATAAGCAAAAATGACTATGCTACAACTAATGTGTATGAAATGCTAAATACACTGGAAATAGATCAAAATGTGGACAAGACTCTTCTAAATAAGTAGGCACTGCTGACCTTGCCACTGGCAGGACACAGTCGTTGCTGCTCACACTCAAAAAGTATCCCTTCAATCCCCATCGGGAGGGGAATTTTCTAGTCTACAAGTGATCTACTCTTCCATGATGTCACATCATGTGAAGATCAAACCTGCAAGTTCCACAGTAAACGATGCTTTGAAGTTTGCACTTGTAGCTGCCCTTAAAAGCAGCTTGCAGGTCAAGTTCTCTGGCATTGTGTCCTTCAAAGACACCTTCCTAGTTGCCTGTACCTGCGATGTGGAGGCCAAAACAATCCTGACCCCTATTGCTATCAAGACTCTCAACGATCATAGCTTCATAATCTCCAACTCTCCTCACTTGAAGGTGAAACGATCTGTCTTTGTGAAAAGACTTGACAGGATCATCACGGCCCTCTGTAACGAAGAACTCAAGTCTTCCATCAAAGACCAGAATGTCTAGGCCTCGGTGGACACCATCACGAAGATACCCAATGCCTCCTCTATGCTTAAGGTCACCTTTATGGACATCGTTGTAGCTGCCCAAGCTGTATCTAATGGACTGGCCATTTCCTACTACAGTGGTACCTTGACTTATGAGTGCCCCAACTTGAGAGTTTTCTGAGTTACGAGTCATCGCTAAGTCAGTTTTTTGCTTTGAATTGCTAGCCAAAATCTGAGCTACGAGCGAGCTTCAGATATGTCGCCCCCAGCTGGCGTCGGTCAGTGCACATGTCTACTTCGCCATGGAAGCATCTCTCTTGTGCTGTGCTTGTGTTTTGTGCATTTTCTGCAATTATTTTGCCAAATTTCTTTTTTCTAACATGGGTCCTAAGAAAGTAAGTGCAATGGACAGTGCTGAGAAGAAGAGGATGATGTCCATTGAATTAAAGCAAGAAATCATAGAAAAACACGAGCGAGGTGTGTGGGTAGTGGAGTTGGCGAGGCAGTACCAGCGTAGTACTTCTACGATATGTACCATACTAAAGTTGAAGGAGTCGATAAAGGCTGTAACGTCAGCCAAGGGCATTAACACCTAAACGGTCCGAACGTACGTATATATACGTTCTTACCGCTAGCGCCCCAAACGTATATATACGTTTTAATTTTCCTGCTTCCAAATCTGGCATGATTGCCCTGAGATGTCTGGTCAGCACAGAATGGCCTTAACACTCGGTGTGCACCATATTAAAAACATCAGGGACCACTTAGTACCTTGTGGGAGCACCAGTTAAAGTGAGCGCCAGCTTGAGCAAACAGTGTGGCAAACACCAATGATTCACTGATGTAATGTCATATTAACACTCCCCTTTTAAGAAGAAAGTGATGTTAACCCCAAGTTTAGGGTCTGTCTATCTCTGTATCTGTCTATCTGTGTCTGTCTCTGTCTTTGTCTATCTGTCTCTGTCAATCTCTTTCAATCTGTCTCTGTCTATCTCTGTCTCACAGGTACAAATAAATACAAGTATACATAGTGTAAATTACCTAGGATAACCCTAAAACTCCAGACAAAGTGCTATACTCTGCTTGAAGATGTGAGTAAACGTGATGATGACACAGTCTTGTGGCTCTCTCTGAGACAGAGAGCTAGACGGATAGACAGATAGACAGGCAGCTTGACAGACAGACATGTTTGTGTACCAGCGAAAACAAAGTGAGGGCTGATGCTCATCATATATCACCTCTATTTTTTCTTATCAAGTCTTATCACTGCACCCTCGCAAATGCTCATCAAACGTCAGCTCTTATCAAATGTTATCTCATCTTATCACGTCACTGTCAGGGGTGGACATTGTTTTTCAAGCTTCAAGGAACTTATTATAAACCCATTTAAATTTTTATTTTTATGTATTCTTCTTCTTCTTCTTCTTCTTCTTCTTCTTCTTCTTCTTCTTCTTCTTCTTCTTCTTCTTCTTCTTCTTTTTTCTTTCTTTTTCTCCTTCTTCTTCTTCTTCCTTCTCCTTCTTCTTCTCCTTCTTCTTCTCCCTTTTCCTCCCTTTTTCTCCTTCTCCTTCTTCTTCTCCTCCTCCTTCTTCTTCTTCTCCTCCTCCTTCTTCCCCCTCCTCCTCCTTCTTCTTCCCCCTCCTCCTCCCCCCTCCTTCTTCTTCTCCTCCTCCTCCTTCTTCTTTCTCCTCCTCCTCCCTTCTTCTCCTCCTCCTCCCTTCTTCTCCCCTCCTCCCTTCTTCTCCTCCTCCTTCTTCTCCTCCTCCTCCTCCTTCTTCTTCTCCTCCTCCTCCTCCTCCTCCTCCTCCTCCTCCTCCACATTGCTGGGACCTTTAAATACTTTGTATATATTTCCCAAAACAATAGTAAATGACCAAGGCAGGTGTAAATATCCACCTGTCAGTGTGTTTGTGACAATTTGAGTACAATTTTCAGCACCTAATGCAGTGGATCCCTGCCTTACAATGCAAATCCGTTCCTGAGAGCTCATCGTAAGCCAAAATTATCGTAAGGCGAATTTAAATTTTTCCCATAAGAAATAATGGAAATCAAATTAAAACCCTGCAAGACACCCCAAAGAAAGAAAAAAAATTTTTTTTTTTTACCACATGAAAATTATTTTTTTTCACACAAACAAAAAAAGACATCACAATTACTACTCT